CTGCTGCAGCTGATGCTATTGCTGTGTTGTTAAACTAATGTAAACACCAATTCTATTAAAAAATTAAAAGGCTGATGGCTTTTTTTATGTAATTATTACCTACAGTTTTTATCTTCTGTGGGTTATTGTTAAAATATGGTAATTGTAATAGATTTAATTATCATTTATTCATTCATTCATTTTCTTTTCGGCTTAGTCCCTTTATTAATCTGGGGTCGCCACAGCGGAATAAAGCACCAACTTATCCAGCATATGTTTTACACAGCGGATGCCCTTCAAGCCGTAACCCATCTCTGGGAAACCCATACACACTCATTTGCACACTATGGACAATTTAGCCTACCCAATTTACCTGTACCACATGTCTTTGGACTGTGGGCGAAACCAGAGCATGCGGAGGAAACCCACTCAAATGCAGGGAGAACATGCAAACTCCACACCGAAACACCAACTGACTCAGCTGACGCTCGAAGCAGCGACCTTCTTACTGTGAGGCGACAGCACTTACCTACTGTGCCACTTCATCGCCTAGATTTAATTAATTAATGTAATTATTTAATTAATTTGACTTTTGGAAATAACCAAGCGACTTCTTATTATTGTCCCGCGAGCCCCCAGGGGTTCCCGACCTTCACTTAGGGTACCACTGGTGTAAAGGAAAATGTAATGTTTTAAATAACTTTTGCTGTTGTAAAGAAACTTTTGTTGAATGTACAGTTTCTACAATTTAAGAAAGGGACCAAAGGAGAGTTTTTGCATGGATGCCATATATAGAAGCAACATTTTTGGTTCCTCAATGAAACTTTTAATGAAACTCAAAAGATCCATTTATTGGTTAGAGTGATTGAAAACATTTTGAGTCAGATTAAAATATTTTTTGTCAATTTATATATATACTTTTTGTTTTGTTTCAATGGATGTTAAAAATTATTTGTAGAACCATTGCATTCATCAAAAGTATATTTTTAGTAGACAATTGTTCTGATTTTAAAAGACCCCTTACAGAAGGAAGAAAAAAAATCAGAGCTATTAAATTAAAAGGTTCTTTGAGGAACCTAAACTGGTTCTTGTTGCATTGGTGTGAAACACCCTTTCTTTTTAGGAGTGAAAATCTACTTTTAAGAATGTAGGCTATGGAAACATCTTAGCCCATACCTGTCAACATTGAAATGTAAAAATAAGGCATACCCTCCCTACCCTTTTTAAATTATTATTTACAAAGATCAGAATACATATATACATTAGAAAAGCAGCAAATAAATCTCTCATTTTGATTTTTCGTTTGATTACTTTACATAACAGTGTCACTTTAAAAATGCACCAATCTTTAATGAACTCATTCAATTGCTTTCCTAACTTTTTATGCTTATTTAAGACAAAATTTGTTGTTTTTTAAAGAAAATCCACTATGGTCGTCATGTTTAGATGTTGTTATTATTATTATTATTATTATATTATATAAGTCCTGAGTGTCCACTTTCACTGTGCTTCAAAACGCGTTTAAAGAATCTGTTTGGGAAACAGTGTCTGTATATCAATATGAAGCCAGTGGTGTACTATTACAAACCCAATCCAAATTTTAAAAGTAGGCAAAGCAACGACGGAAGTCAATGTTTCTTTGATTCATTAGCTTTAACTATATATATATATATATGCTGACTAAATGTAAAATAAGTTGAAAACAGAGGAGCGGAAGTCTGCCGCCATTTTTATATCAAATTTAAAGGGGTCTGAGGCGGTCATTGAGTGATTTACAGTTCATGAGGTAATCACAAAAGTTTTAGGGTGGGCGAATGGAAATATAGGAGTGCTAACGGGACGCCCATGCTGTTTTTTAATTTTACTTGAAAGTTTCAGTGAGACTTAGTATAGCAAGGACTACATCACTGTATGAAGCGTGTTTGACAGTCACACACCGCTACATGAACTGACTGTTTTGAGGATTGAATACGGTGCTTGTATTGGACAGGAAAGAATTCATGCCTATAAAATGAAAACACAGAACAGATTTACATTTAAGAGCAAGGGGCATCCCCTTGTGGTTCAACGGTATGAGTTGCGTATAAAGAGGATGGGCTCTTTAATGTTTATTGCCACCCTTCATATAAAGATTCAAAATATGGGATAACACCTTTACGTAATGATAGTGGAATAGAATTGTAAAATATGGGAGAATCCCAAGAAAAATGGGAGGGTTGACAGTTATGTCTTAGTCCTTTAAGTGCAAAATATCTCTACTTACATGAAGCCTTTCAGTGTATGCAGTGCTGAACTAGTGTAAAACATTGTGTTATCCTTTCATGGCTTAGAAGTCTTAATGGGGTTTTCAGCGATTTTTCATTTTAATATCATTTTTGCCTCAGATGTTTCTTATAAAGTTCCTTTGCAGAAATAAGCTCGACATAAACATGACAGTTGTTGACATACAGCAAGGGTAAAGAGCTGCACATTTAATTCAAACCCAGAAGAATTTATTGAATAAATCTTGAGTTCATTTTGGAAACGCTTGTCTTCATATTGCAGACTTTGGTATTTTGGCAACCTGGCCATGATTTGAGATGTTTATATCTCTCTTGAAACTAAATATGAGACACATGTGGCAAGAAATACTGAGCATCATTGTTTTCAGTCCAGTTGATTTACAGTAAATGTGCCACCAGGGTAAACTTATCTAGGCAGTTAACATAGATGGGGTTTTGTCAAAACTTTCAGAATGGCTTGGAGGTCTTAAAAGCATCAAATTGATGTTATTCACTATATATCATTTATTATTGTGTTTTTGTGGTGTTTACACCATAACATGCTATATAGCATGCAAATTCAAAATATTAGGCAAAAACAAACAAGCACAGATGGAGAGGAGTTTTCAAGCATCAAAACAAAGATTATACTACTCTGAAAAAATAATTAGTTGGATTTTCTAAATATTTTAAGTGGTTGAAAAAGGGTAGTTTATGGGTTAAATACAAACAAAATATTTATGTTCAACATTACTAAATTTAATTTGTTTGTTTCAATTCAGCCCTAATAAATTGTTTGCAACCACTTACCTTACAAAAAGAATCAATGAAACGAATCCTTATTTTTAGTGTATACAGTATATTTTCTTCTAAACATTTTTTCTATACATAAAAATGTCTTCATATTGTTTTATTTTATTAGAAAACAATAATGACTGGCATAAAGTGCCTACTTGAGGTCATTAAGTAGATAGTTATATATTAAAACACCTTGTCAGGCATACAGTACTTGGAACAAGAATCATTTGATGACCTATTTAAGCCCTCAAATACTATTTAATTTTAATTTAAAATCTTTATATTTTTCAAATATCCTTCAAACCACTTTATTCCCCTCATTCGACAGATCAACAAAATATAAAATCTAATTTATTTATAGTTCTGCTGTTTAGTTCAATGCCAGTGTTGTTATTTTAAAAAACACAATTTATTACTAACTACATCATTAAAAGACTGCTAAAATTACATTTCAAATTCATTCATTCATTAAGTTTCTTTTCACCCTTCCAGCTGCCACCCATCACTACTTGAAATTCTTACAAATGACAAAGCATAGAAATTAAGCTCTTTTAGATCTTTCAATTTAAGTCAGACAATACCTGTTACTTTTTTAAAATATTAGCACTTAGAAAATATAATGTGAAAACATTATATGCATTATTCCTAAATGTTTTATTACACTGAACTTATTATTTCATTTAATTACTATTGCAAATCTTGAAAAAAAAGTTGAATACAGAATTTTTAGCCCCCCTGAATTATTAGACCACTTGTATATTTTTCCCCCAATTTCTGTCTAACGGAGAGAAGATTTTTTCAGCACATTTCTAAACATAATAGTTTTAATAACTCATCTCTAATAACTGATTTATTTTATGTTTACCATGATGACAGTAAATAATATTTACTAGATATTTCTCAAGACACTTCTATACAGCTTAAAGTGACATTTAAAGGCTTAACTAGGTTAATTAGGTTAACTTTGGAGGTTAGTGTAATTAGGCAAGTTATTGTATAATGATGGTTTGTCCTGTATTATCGAGAAAAAATACAGCTTAAAGGGGCTAATAATTTTGTCCTTAAAATGGGTTTTAAAAAATTAAAAACTGCTTTTATTCTAGCCGAAATAAAACAAATAAGACTTTCTCCAGATGAAGAAATATTATCAGACATACTGTGAAAATGTCCTTGCTCTGTTAAACATCATTTGGAAAAATAAAAAAAAAGAAGAATAAAAATTGAAGGGGGATAATAATTCTGACTTCAACTGTATATATTCTGAAAAATGTCTTTGTATAACATTCATTTTCCTTCGGCTTAGTCCCTTTATTCATCAGGGGAATGAACCACCATCTTATCCAGCCTATGGTTTACACAGCAGATGCCCTTCCAGCTGCAACCCAGTACTGGGAAATATTTGTATCGCAAAAAAAAGAAAACACAATTAATTTGATTCCTCTAACTAATAAAAGACAGTTGAATTTATGTTCAGTTTTTAAAGCAAGTATGTTAGAAGCACTTGTGATTAAGTTACCTAAAATGCAAAGTAATCCGTTACTTTACTTTTTAGTAATTTAATTAGTTACTTTGTAGCTAATTACACCCATCACTGGTCAATGCTCAGATGTCTTTCCCATATCCACTTTCCCTAATCACGGACAGACTTTTTACCAAATCTGGTCTTTTTCAAAAGTGGAAAAGAAAAAGGCTCTATTTATATCTGTGCCGCCGTCCTTTGATTGATCAGTGCTATGAGCCAGAACCAGGTTTCACTTGAATGTGTTTTCGTTGTATGTACATACTACACTGGCCTCATCAGTTCTGGCATCCCAACTGACATGCTACACTAACAAGGACATAATTATACTTCGTTTTGACAGAAATTAGACAACATATAAATCATTGTGTAATTTATTACATCCTGCACACAGTATTGAATGCCATTACATTTGTTTTTGTGTGTGTCTGTGTGTGTTTCAGGAATTCCCGTAAGTACCCTGTTATCACCGGGGCTATAATTCAGAACAAATGTGAGTTTGTCTGGAGGTGGGCAGATACAGCATGGCATGATCCGTGTTGGCTTTGCAACTTTGATATAAACTGCAAAATGAGGTGAGATAAGAGGGAAGCGAGGATATATGCTCCAGGAGACAGTTTTTAAATCGACCACACTCCATTTTTCACTGTCTGGCATTCATCCTGACTGCCTGTTTCCTAATAACCAGACATCCCCTTTCAGAAAAAGAAAAACAGCTGATACAAATCTCTCCATGCCTTCACACAGAATGCATAGTAAACACTTGTGCATGTTCGAGTGTGTATGTGTACAACATAACGACGCAGCAGCACGACAGCTTTTATTGCTGCGGTTGCATCATATTTGAGCAGAAAGCCACAGTAATAAAGAGGAAGAGTGTGTAAACATTTTAGTTGCCCCAAAACACGTTCCATTTTTATGAGCTATTTGTTTCATAAGTAGTGTTTATGTATTGCAAACGCACTATTAAATACAATGTACTACGGAGCACTTAATTAATGTCCTTTCTTGTACTTGCACAAACATTGTGTCAGGTTTGATGGGTCTCCATGCTTTTTTAATTATGTTTATGTTCTGCATTGATTCCTAACAGGGCACTCCAGGACGGGATGGTTACCCGGTAATTATTACTTCAGCAATACACTTACTGATCAACTAATCATTTCTGCTTCAACCACACACAAAAACAGCTTGAGATCTCACGTCCTTAATAGTGAGTGTTAAGTACGCCACCTGCTGGTCATATTAGAAAGTATTGCCAAATATAAATAGCCAGACAAGGTTAATGGTAATTAAATTCATCAGTTGACATTACATTTGATTTCATTCACACATAAACAAGCCTGCTGATCATCTTTGGTTGAGTTTAAACTGTCAGAGATTTGATCCCCTATTTTTTATTTATTTATTTATTTTTTGATCATCATGAAGATGAAAAGTAGGTCAAGTGTTAAATAGAATTTGTTGGCGTTTAACAAGACGAAATGCATCAACATGATTAGTTGTAGTTCATTTTGGTAGTCTGTTTAGACCAGAGATGCCCAAAGTAAGGTCCACGAGCAAAAGCTGGCCCATGGTAACCTTTAATTTTGCCCACCAATCTAGTCTGAAAAGATAGGGAGAATGTTGGTTTTTAGGGGTGAATGTCTTTAACAGAAATGGTCGATTTGAATTTTGAATTTAACAAAATTTTTGGTTTCTTAGTTTTATTACTGAGCTAAAAAAAGGCAACTGCAAATAAATGATTTAGTAAATGTTGTAAATTAATCAGAATTTTAAAATGTAAAATCAAATCAAAGAAAAGGCAGGTGCAGCTCGACTACTGTATTCAACATTGAACTCCATTGTGGTATAAATGGAGTTGTTTATGTTTTCACTGTAATGAGTTCATTATAAAATGTTAAAAATAAAACTGCATTAAATATAAAAAAATAAAATAAATAAATAAATAATACGGTTTAGTATATGTTCGGCCCACAGCCTTCAATCATGTTCAATCAAAAATCAGGTTTTTGGCCCTTTGTAGAAAATATTTGGGCATCCCCAGTTTAGACAATTATACTACAAGCAATATTGCCTTCTGTTATTGTAATTATTGCAAATAAAAAAGTTTCATTGTTGGAAATTGGATGTGTAGAATGACCTCTCAAGCAATATTTATTACTGGGGACCTCTATAAATTTGATAACTGGGTTTCTGAGATTAACTTTAATTCATTTTAAACATGATGAGAATAGAATGATGGCTGTTGTGAATTGCATTGTTATTCATTTTATCCACAATAGCTATATAGAAATATCTTGTTAAAGAAGTGCACATTTACACATTTGATTGGGTAATTGAAGCATTATAAACTGAAATTAGCATTGCCAGAAGTTGATCGTCTATATTGCAGTGAATGTTTACATGATTGTCAACAAATGGGATGCTACATTTTCTTCTCTGAAGCAAAGATGTACAACACATTTACCATTAAGGAAATATACAAAAATAAACCTGTTATAATCCATGATTCCTATTTTTTCTGACAACATTTCAAATTAAAAGACAGGCTCATATTCGTGTTCTTATTATTTCTGATAGCAAGTGAAGGCAGTAAAATGTTTCAAGTACACTATTCTACAGACCTACACGTACACTATTCATCCACAATATCAAGTACACCTGTTTAATTGCTTATTAGTGCAAATCTCTGCATTAGATGACATAAGTGAGTAAACTAGTAGCTTTAAAAGCAATTAGTTGACTTTACTTAAAAAGGTGAGACCTGTTGCCTTGAAATTAAGTAAACAAACTATAAGCATAATTATCAAAATTAAGTTGTCAACATAACAGTTCCAAGTTAAATTGGGTTTACAAACTTTATTAAGCAATGCAACAAATTAACTATGTTTTTAAAGTGTAATGGGCCAGCCATATGACAGCAAATCAATGCATCTAGGCATATAAACATGAACTGGTATAAGTATTTCAGAAATTGCTGATATACTGGGATTACGACACAACAAACATTTGGGTTTAGAGAATGGCCAAAAAATAGAAAATGTCAAGTTAGTGAGTGGCAGTTCTGTAGGTAAAAATGCCCTGTTGATGCCAGAGGTTATATTAGAATGGCAAACTTGGTTTATTTAATAGAAATACAACAATAACTATAAATAATCACTGTTACAACTGAGGTCTGCAGAAGATCATCTCTGAACATGCAACACATTAAAACTTGAAGCAGATAAGCTACAACAGCAAAAGAAAAACACACCAGTGACACACCTGACAGATAAAAACAGAAGACTGAGGCTACAGTTCACACAAGCTCATAAAAACTCTGATCTTCTTGGTTGGTTTGTCAACAGAATGGGTACATCAAAATATAATGTTACATGATATATTATGGGATCTGTATAATGATGTCAATTGTATTAGACTGATATGTATCTATCTGTATATTACATTATGTATCACATACAGTTGAAGTTAGAATTATTAGCCCCCCCTGATTTATCAGTCCCTCTGTTTATTTATTTCCCCAATTTCTGCTTGACGGAGAGAAGATTTTTTCAATACATCTCTAAACATAATAGATTTAATAACTCATCTCTAATAGCTAAATATTTTAATATTAAATACTAAATATTTTTCAAGACACTTCTATACAGCTTAAAGTCACATTTAAAGACTTAACTAGGTTAATTAGGTTAACTAGGCAGGTTAGGGTAATTAGGCAAGTGATTGTATAATGATGGTTTGTCCTGTAGACAATCAAAAAAATATAGCTTAAAGGGGTTAAGAATTTTGACCTTAAAAATGCTTTTTAAAAATGTTTAAACTGCTTGTATTCTAGCCGAAATAAAACAAATAAGACTTTCCCCAAGAGATAAAAATATTATCAGACATGCTGTGAAAATGTCCTTGCTTTGTTAAACATAATTTAGGAAATATTAAAAAAAATAATAATAAAAATTCTATTGGGGCTAATAATTCTCACATCAACATTGTCACCCAAAATTAACAACTTGCTTACATTTTATTCTTCCTCATGTGGTTTTAAATCTTTACGAGGTTCTTCTGTTGAATGCAAAAGAAGACATTTCGAAGAATGCTGGTTCCCATCGACTTCAATATCAAGAAAAAAAAAAAAATATTGTGGAAGTCAATAGATACCAGCATTTTTCAAAATATCTTCTTTTGTTCTGCAGGATCAAAGAACTCAAATGGGTTGTCTCAAACAAGTGAAGGGAGAGAAAGCGATGAATTCAAAAGGAAAATATAAACTTTCAAAATCTTCATAAAAATTAAAAGGTTATAAACCTTCATAAACTCATAGGGGGTTTCATGGTGGCATACAAGAAACATTAAAACAAACTAGTGGAATGGAAAGTTTCCAGAGTTGTTAAAATGTTCATGGGACCACAGACTCCAGTAAAAAAAAAAAACATAGACTCAAAAAATGATGTTTGTGGTTTGTTCAAACTTATTTTATAATGAGCTGAAACAGCACAATTCTTGAGCTTTTTTGTGACAACTTAATTATTTTATGTTCAATCCACTCAAATTTGTAAAAGTCTAATAAGTTAACTTAAGTTGTTCATGTTGCCCCAACCCAAATCCATTGTGTGGAACCCAACATTTTTACAGTGTATTGTGTAATATGGTTATTATTCTCAGTTATTATTATTAAATAGCAATAGTTATTTTCAGATAGAGACTCACACCTACACAACATCATTCAGAACAGAGAATTATTGTTCTTTCTAATAGCTTTGCTTTTAAAAGAGGCATTAGTTGCATGAAGCCTCCCTGACAGGCCATCGTGATCCAGATGCGATCAGTTGCATGCGTTGGCAGCCTCTGCTCCGCATAAAGATCAACTGGGAAATTTAGCTCTGTGTGAAGTCTCTCCAAGCATAACAAGAGCGCTGCTCCAAACTGAACCGTGCGCAGGACTGCACCACATGTGGCCCTTACCGGATTTCCAACTGCACTTAGACCCATCACCACTCCAGTCATCCATTTCTTCTGCTTCAGGCTGAAAAGACCGACATGTGCAACCCACTGCACACTCTCGTCACTTATCTTAACACTACCAGCATACACTAGAAGAACAAGACTAACAGATCTATTCTCTGTGTTATTTTTGTTGTGGGAGTAGACACACAAAAACAGAATGTTGATGATGATGATTCAAAAGATGGATTTAAATCTAATTAAATCATGACATTTTGACAATCATGACGATTCTTTGAACAGAAAGTGCTCACATTTAGTTCAATTTACTTTGTTTACTCTGACTGCTTTCAGCACCTTCAGGACAGTGGACAGCAACTTTTTGTCCAGTAGGTTTAGCTTATGAAGCCAGTGATGGACTACGAGACATTAGCTTCCTCTAATCATATAAAATGATCCGCTAATCAATACAGCAAAAAAGTAGAGATGCACCGATCCCGATACTTGGATCGGATATCGATTCGACAACGCATATTTTTGCTGGATCAGGTATTGGTCAGCTGGTACCGGTCCAAATCCGATCTTGCGCATGCGCTATATTCTGTGTAATTTATAAGCCAACAAAAGCCACAAAGGTAGCCTATTATAAGGCACTAGAAAGTTGTTATATAAGCCTACTATATCCTAAGGGGTGATCCCTGCTGAAGGGGTATACCCTACTATATCCTACATCCATTCTATGGTTTAATATGAAGTACAGATGAATATCCAAGTGCTTAAATTCATGCTTCTCGTTGCTGCACCTGTTAATCATTCTCCATTCATTCACAATTCAAACTGCGCGTCACGTTCATGACAACTTGAAAAACTTTCTCCAAAACTAACTGTTCCTGTTAATATAAGTAATCGGTGAAGAAATTAATTTAGACTGGCATTAAATGGGTTCATTTTGACCTGCAACATATTTATCATTTCTATTTCTAAATCATGTTGCGCTGTGTCTGTTAGAGCAGCAGATCGCATTCACAACACTGGAGTAGAGATTAGTATTACCTGCTCTTCACAAAGTAGGCCTACCTGAAACTTTCAATTAGAAAAGGCTCAATAATACATTGGACAGATCCTCAATGTACTGATTTCTTCCCTTATTTGTGCTGCTGTTTTAGAAGTTTCCGTATACCAGAGGGCTGAGCGCTATATCTTGGTGATGCAAGCACTTCGTTCATGCACCGGCTGCACAGATGTAATTTGCGCCGCTCCAGAAGATTATTTTTACAATGAGTTTCTGTTCTCTCATCCTTCCGAGTTTATTCTTCTGAGGGGAATACTTAAGCATATAAGCGAACCTTGTTTTAAACTTCAACTTAAATATTTATGTTTATTTTGTAGAAAACTGACCAACAAATAACACACAGAAATAACCAACAAATTATACCAAACAAAATTCGCTTCAAAAAGAGACTTTTTCGGACAAAAACAGAAACAATACAGACATGCTTTTAGTTTCTTCACCTCACTCACAGCGAGTTTAGGCAAGGGATTATGAAGTAAAACTGCCCTCTGTCAAACCTGCAGGAAAATATCAGGCTTTGCTAAAAGGATGATTATTTAACCATTGATTAGGGTAGCCTATTACAGATTTCAAAGAAAAATCTTAATACTAAAAAAAGGAACATAAGCTGGACAACAACAGATCATTTCAATGTCATAACGAATGCTCGAATATTGTAGCCTATAGTTTACAGCATGCATCATGTTTTTAGTTAGATAGTGTAATCTTTCATAGACAGTAGGCCTATAGGTCTGTTGTTTTTACTAAAGAAGATATATTATTTGTGTTTATTACCAGAACTATAGAAACTGTATTATGTTAATAATTAAAAAATTAAATAAATCAGCACAATATTGGAATCGGATCTGTATCGGTCAATACTCCAAAAAATGCTATTGTGCATCCCTAACAAAAGTAAAGTAATAGTTAAGAAGCAACTTTATTTCAGCCGCCATGAAATAGAAATTCACTATATTTATTTTCTGAAGGGATGCATTGATTTATTTATACATGTATGTTATATTTATTTATACAAATGAATCAAAATGTTTTAACTCAATCTTTCAGTGAATCAACAAAATAGTCTTCCTAAACTCAGATTTTTAAATTTAATTAATTATATTTTATCCAGCAGACTAACATTATAGAATTAGTTCATTCAAAAATGAAAATTCTGTCATCATTTGCTTCATCATCGGTTTCAAATAAGACTATTGTTTATTTTTGGAACACAAATGAAATCTGCAAGATTGTAATATTTACCTAAATATTGGAGAGGGGTCTGGCTGCAGACTCGGTGCAGATGCAATCTGAGCTGCATCCAATGCTTTTTAATGCGCTCACCTAACCCCACCCCTAACCCTACCCCTCACAGTGACGTCACCAGCTCCATTGAGTGCACTGTGTCTGACACTGCATCTCTGTGTGATGCAGTCTCAACTTGCATCACAAAGGCTGCATCCAGATACTATAGAAAAATTCACATTTCAAAACTTTAGTAATAAGAAAATACCAACACGATCTCATGGCAATTCGAAACTTTTTGATTTAGGTGTTGTATTAATCTGTACAATCTCATTCATACAATTTAGGATGACTTGCTTATCCCAATGACTCTTGGGTTTAGGGGTGGGGTTGGGTGCCACGCCTCCTTTTTAAAATTGTACAATATCATACGACTGAACTCTTACGACTGAACTGAATTACCCTCTAAAATGACAAAATGTAAAATAGTTACGTTTCCTCGTGAGATTAGGCTTGAAAATAAATTAATAAATAGACCTCATTGGTTCTTCTGAAGCTCAAATGTGCAGTGACATTTGAGATTTATCCTCATTGGTTATCATCAAGCATGCTTAAAAAGAGTTTACCCAATAGTTTATTTCTGCGGTTGAACACAGAAATTATATTTTAAAGAATTTGGAAATGGGTAGCCATTGATTTTGATAGTACTTGTATTTCCTACTATGAATGTCAAAGGTTACAGATTCCAATATTTTTCTAAATATCTTCTTTTGTGTTTAATTCTAAAAAAAGAAATAAAGATTTGGAACCACTTGAGTAAATTTTCATTTTTGGGTGAACTATCCCTTATTCTTTCATCACCACATTTGAATGCACAGAGCATTGTTTGCTGATCATTATTTATATGAAAATAAAAAAGGTTCAATTGCATCTATCATATAAAGTGATCATGTTTGTTGGAATGAATTGCTTGCTTTATATGAATTTATTTTTGATCCGTGATGAATGTCTTGAGGAATCAGCCAGAGTTTTGTAAAAATAGATTTTCATTAAACTGATATCTCTCAGATTTCACACACAAAAACAATATTTTTGTTCTGAAGATTAGCATGTGTATGAGTTTAGAATGACGTGAGTGTAAAAATGCCTGGCTAACCCTTAATATCTCCCTCAATCAATTTAATAATCATTGGATGACATGTACCATATTTTTTGTTTCTTATTCAATCATTTGCTTTTGATTTTGTGCTCATATACGTATGTAACAACACAGAAGAAATGTTTAAATAATAGAATGAAAATCTACTCTACAACTCTACTAGGAGTGCTCTGAAATAATCATAACTCATGAATGCATTTCTGTCTCTGCCAGGGCCCATTGGGTATGGATGGCAAGCCTGTAAGTATTATCTTCTGCAGTTTTTAAAACCAGGTAATGATTAGATTAGTTTTTAACATCTTTGGTTTAACTCCACTTAGCTAAGGGGATGTTACTGCACTGTGATAAGCCGCTTATTTTATTGTAAAAAAAATAATAATTCCACTCTTCTTATAGGGATCTCCAGGTCAAAAAGGCAGTCAGGTATGTTTTTTCATATTTTCATTATTAAAGCAGTTGTATTATTGTGAGTGACTAGTGTGCAATGCATCTTAGATTTCTTCGGGGGAGGAAGAGGGAGTCACATTTTTCAATCAATCACCTCAGTCATAAAAGTGTGATGTCCGTCCAAGAGCAACTTACAGATCTCATTTCTTTGATTACTCCAAAGCAGTGTCGTGCGTTGAGGTTTGTGGCTGGTGAGGCAGTGACCCTTTCAAAGTCAAAAGTCAGATTTATCCACTCAATATATTTGCCAACTACAGACTGTAATTCATATATCATATCAGCATTCTTTCTATACACATGACAGACATATTGGGCCAAGGCAGAATGTAAAATGCATAGTGGTTAAATATGTTCCCAAAAAAACACCCAGCTGTATGCTACAGACAACTATAACAAGCGACACACACAGCACCACGGCGAATGCACTCTCTCATCCACACACGCACACACACACACACACAAACAACAACACGGCAGATGCGCGCACTCTCTCTTGCTAGCTTACTCTCTCTCTCTCTCTCATTCATAGACACAACATTCGCACACTGGTCTTACTTTTACAGTACTTGTAAATGAAGTCTCGACATGATTTGAATTACTTTGAAATGATCGCGTTATCTTCTGTCCTGTCCTTTGAAGCAAATCTTTTATCTCCAGCATTGGCCGTCCATTATTTATTAAAGTTTTGATTGAAAATCCCATTTTGAGAAACTTTTGACCTGATATCCACAATTTTTGCAGTCAGTCAGAGCAAAAACATAAAATAACAGACTCCTATTGAACTTTACTGCGTAGAAGAAGAGCAACCAGGATTAACATGAGCTCACGTATGACCTCTTCAGTGTGGCAGAGCTACTGCCTACCTCACCTCATGTCTTTCCAGTGTGACTTTATGTCAAATTCTAACAATAAATAAGTGACAGATGAGTGAAATACATCACCTATTATATGGAAAGTGAGGACATATAATAAAAATGTCTAGAATTACTAAAAACATTTTAATAAAGCATTACATTGGTAGCAGGGGCGACGCGGTGGTGCAGTAGGTAGTGCTGTCGCCTCACAGCAAGAAGGTCACTGGTTCGAGCTTTGGCTGGGTCAGTTGGCATTTCTGTGTGGAGTTTGCATGTTCTCCCCATGTTCACGTGGGATTTCTTGGGGTGCTCTGGTTTCCCCCACAATCCAGTCCAGACATGCGGTACAGGTGAATTGGGTATAGGCTAAATTGTCCGTAGTGTATGAGTGGGATTGAGTGTGCATGGATGTGTTCCAGGGATGGGTTGTAGCTGGAAGGGCATCCGCTGAAAAAAGCATATGCTGGATGGGTTGGCGGTTCATTACGCTGTGGCGAGGGACTAAACCGAAAAGAAAATGAATGTATGAATTACATTGGTAGCATAAAATGAGTGAGCAAAGAGGGCAGACTCAAGCCAGTTTGCAAGGTATTACGCAATCTGACACGATACAGAGCTCGGTGCTGCCTCACCTCGCTTCCTACGCTGTAATTGAAGGGAAGATATGAAAAATACAGCGATTTTGATCATAAAAATTATTGAAATCAATTGAATCATATGGAAATTGTATTTATAGCATAGATCAGTGGACAAATATTTATTTTATCATTAGTATACATCTCATGATGGCAGGTGAGGATGATGATGGGTGAGACACTGCCTCACCTGCCTCTCCTGACTGCAAGTCCCTGCGCCAAAGGCCAGTTGCACCAGCAGTACACACATTAAAACTTAAGTTGAATATCTGCACTAAAAGTAATTTAATATTAATAAATATTCAACTTTGCTATTTAATTAAAGACTTGTTTTTGTTTCCTCAAGTATTCCAGAAAAGTAATTGTATAGTCCTCTACACTGACTATTTCAGCTTTTAAGCTTTAAACATGAAAGTTACACAATAAATGAAATGTAAAGAAAAGAAAAAAAGACAACAAAACTATGTTTTATCCATAAAAAATCAGTTCAGTGTAGCCAAAGATTGAAGGTGGCGAGAAACCAAATTCCATCATGTGACAGAAATTGAGAAAGGAAGGACCTTGGGAGAAAGCAAAAATTTTGTTAATGTTATATTCAGATTAAAAAAAAAAAAAAAAAAAAAAAAAAAAAAAAAACATTTTTGACAAATTTAAATACACTAATAATAGTAGTCTTTTATCATTTCAATGTTTATTACATTTGTATTATCACTGTAAACAAGTTGTACTAAAAGCTGAAAAGTTTTTGCTCAGCATATTTAAAAAGACTATGTGCTGTCAAAAGGTACAAAGAGTAAGAGTACAGGCTGTCAAAACAATCTATATTAAAATAATCTGCAAAAACAACTAGAAATGCCGTTTTATGCATGCCAGGGCCATGAGTTACCTGCACACATATGGTCCTCAAGTGCAATATTGTTGTTTTGGTTGGTAAACACATGTGCATGTCTATGAACTGAACACATCATACAAATGTGCTTGATGTCACCTTTTTCACACAAACTATTTTTTTTTTATTTACACTGAGGCTGTAGCATTATCAACTTTAAAAACTGCTTATTGGAATAATTAAATATAATGTTTATTACTATATAACATACAATAAATTTACGTGCAAATACAGTTACAGACCAGGATGAACATCTTTCATCAAAGTCGCCTAAAACTATTTAACAACACCCATTCTTGTCTCAGGAGAATTTTAAAATACTTTTTGATCCACTTTAGATATTGACTACTGTAGTAGTTATCAGGAATGGGCAGTATTTATGAGACATGCATTTCAAATTCATATTTTTAAATCAAAATAGTATTTTGCAATTTGTATTTGATGGGGCTGATGAAAATGGCTTAATATTTTGTCTTGTATTTTTTGTATTTTCAAAATACTGAAAAATACTTTGTAAGAAATCTACATGAAAACATCATATAAATGCACCCTCTGATTGGTGATTTGGATGTTATTGACTCTTCAATGAAAGAAGAATCGTCTGTTATTAAAACAAACAACATAAAAAATAAGTCTTTGTGATTCTTACAATACTTCATTGACTGTTTCAAATGCCAGTAGTTGATCAGTAGGTTAACTGTATAGTTAATGAAGAGGAAAGATGGAAGCCTTGAGATGTCACAACATATGAAACACATATTTAATAATCAAAAACTCCTAATACACTTTTACATTGAGTATTAAAGAGAAAATAGATTTCAGAAAAACTCTGTGAACAAAAAAAAAAGGTATTAACTCTTTATCTATATTATTATCTTAATATTAAAACATTAAGAAGTTGAATAATCAATATACAGAGATGATGGCAATTTTACTGGGCACATTTGCTATCAAACATTCTTTACTTCATTAAGTCAGTTTAGTAGGAAAGGGATTGATCGAATAGGTCTAAATAATGAAAGATTTGCAAAGAAATGTCATGCTTCTTTGTAAAAGTATTTAGCATGTTTAAAATACAAAATACAGTATTTTATTTTGATACATGCTGTTTTTGCTGTATTTGTAGTTTATTTTGATAAACCTAAAATTAAGGTATTTAGTATTTTATTTTAAAATACATTTCATTGTATTTTTGCCCAACCCTGGTAGTTATTAAGAATCCCATTGTGTACTTTACCTCAAAAATTTAGTAAGCCTTTACAAATGGCTGATGCAATCCTGCCCAGTTCTCCTCTTATACACATATATGTGTTTACATAAGAGAGGCCAGGGTGGGCCTCAATGTCACTGTGTGGAAGAAATAAAGTGCCTGAATGCCTCTTTTAAAATACATTAGAAGGGTAAACATTGAAGCAATTAATTGCTCAGAACTGCACACAAGTTGGGTAAAGCACATCAGTGAAACACCAGCAGCTTTTGCCAATTACGTCAAAGTTTAGAGTCACTGGTTTCAAGAGGATGGATGTTTTTATGCTAAAAGTGGAAGGGTACTTTAGTTGAGTGTTTACTTGAAGGTTTACTGAAGATTAAAGAATGAGGTGTGTGTTTTGGACTAGGCACACATGACCCAGGGATCCACGTGAAGTACTTTACATAACAGGGGAGATGTGCAACATCTCAATGTTATGTAAATGTTCTCCCATCTGTGTCACAATCACACCATCAGAAGAGAAAATCAAGTGATTGATCCACTGCCATCATTAGCTTCGTTTCCATCCACCTATTTTTATGCACAATTTTAATATGTGTAAAGTGTAAAACATCTGAAATGTTGTTCTGGTCATTCTAAAATGCCTTAACCATCTCAGTATTAATGTTACTTTATTATTAATGACCTCCAGAATCAACAGTGTCTGTGCTCTGTGTCTCATGCCTTCAAACGCTACCGCGCTTTCACTACGTGTTAGGATTGCCATCAGGCGTAGTCATTAATTAAATAAAGAATAGATTCACGCAGCGTCTCCTACAGCAGTAAATTTAGTTTTTACTCTTAGTATTTGGAGCCAGTTAATCAGGGGATGATGATTTTGTTTGCTTTGACTCTTTGGATGGAAACACTGCTTTATTGAGAGGGGTCTGGATGCAGACCTGGGGCCTCATGTACGAAGACTTGCGTTGAAATTATACTAAAACATTGCATACGCACAAAGCTGTAAATGTGCATACTCAGTAAAATATTCAGATGTATGAAACACTGTGTAGTACGGTGGCCGGGAAGTGCAAAACAACATTACAAAGTTTGAAACACTTTTACAAAGCTCGAGACAAATTTACATTTTGATAAACATTTTTACTTATCATCAGACACAATTACATAGTAAAAAACAATTTTACAAAGGACGAAACAAATTTACATTTTAGAAAACAAATTAACAAGACGCAAAACACTTTTACAAATCCCGAAACAAATTTACAATTACAGATTCCTTACGGAAAGGGAATGTACCACACCCCGGAAGTGACGTAGAATGTACCACACACCAGTATTGACCCGGAATGTAACACACACACTGGAAAATATCAATAATGTCCAGCTCGTGTGTGACTTTGTACAGGTTTCCACAAGTCTACAACTATAAAAATCATAGTTTGACTAACTGCGATAAAATAAATTAGAGCTATTCTGAGAAAATATCAGCGTGAGAGTGCATAAAAACATGGAAATGCAAGTACATGGAAACATTTAAAGCACGGCATATGTTGACTGATAAAGATACCAAAACCAATCTCAACTTGTACACCGGAGTAGCTCAGTTGGATAAGTTGGTGGATACTCGTGTAGAACCTTTTGACTTGGGTTCGAATCTTGTTGATGACATGTCAATTATAATTATTTCTTTAGATTAATTTTGATTTTTGCTGTTCTGCCACACAAATATTAAATCAACAATGATACACTGACACCAAGTAATAAGAATCTTTATTCGGTATGGGCAAAAAAGTGAAAAAGTGATGGGTGAAAAAGTGACGAATCTGCCAATCTGCAAACGTGGATAGTTTGCACATCTGAAAAGGGGCCTCAGTTAACACAGACACCAGTTAAACCATAACACAGGCTTCCTTCAGTTTACTGTTAAGAGTCCTCAAGCAGAGGTTTACACCGTGTAGACTTGACATCATGTTCATGATTACAACGTACCGAGGGGATCTCGTAAAAATATTAAACACATTGATGCAGCATGTCTGGCGTTTCCGCCTGGTCCGCGTCCTTTATAAACTCTAAACACCGACCACACGCAAAGCAAAACCGTGTTAAGTTGCACATGTGTTTGCCACAAAACGGGCAAAACAACCCTCGACCGCAGTCCATGTTCGGTCACCATAAACTTTGTTTACGCCATGTACTCAGGGCCGGCGCATTCATAGAGGAGTCCGCAACACCCCCCTACCACCCGCGTCCTCAGATATATTCGCGCATGGGCGACAGAATAGAGAGGGCAGCGTCGGCGACACCTCCCTCCCTCCCTCAGCACCCGCGCGTCCTCAGTTATATCCGTACATAGGGCGGCAGAATAAAGGTCCACGACACCTCACTTAATTTTCATAACCTGTCACTTTCGTTTTCACATTGGGGTTGAGGGCGGCAAGATCGTCCTCTGCCTAGAGCGGCAGTTCAGCTTGCTCCGGCCCTGCATGTACTCCACAGCGCGAATTTACCGCGCTCACCAGCAACAACAACAACAACGTTTCCCCGCGTCACTTCCGAGGTGTGGTACATTCCCGAATCTGTAATTGTAAATTTGTTTTGAATTTGTAAAAGTTTTTTGCGTCTTGTTAATTTGTTTTCTAAAATGTAAATTTGTTTCGTCCTTGGTAAAATTGTTTTTCCTATGTAATTGTGTCTCATGATAGGTAAACATGTTTGTCAAAATGTAAATTTGTCTCGAGCTTTGTTAAAGTGTTTCAAACTTTGTAATGTTGTTTTGCACTTCCCGGCCACCGTAGTGTATGCCGAATCACACTCATGTTCTCTTTGTACATCCGAATGAACGTGAAACTGAGCGCACGTGCATGAGCACAAAACCCCCTCCCTGCCTCCTCCCCGTATGAATATGCTAATTACTATACTTTGGCAACGAAAAAGCAATGGCAAAAGCAAGCAAAAAGAGAAACTTTGAACAGAATGTGATTTGGAGGTGGTGACCACTGCAAATTGCGCTTTAATGTTTGGCTGGTCAACTGCGTGGTATGGAAACCTTATATACCTGCTAGACATGTGGATGAACCTGTCCCATACAGCTGCCATTACAAGGCTCAAAGATACTTTGTAGTGTGCATAAACACAACTGCCTCTAGGAGTCGCCAATGTAAATATAACAAACACACACAAAAAATGAATGTACACCAGGCATGAAGTTGGCGTGGACCAACGCACATTCTCACGTTCATTTCATCGTTAGTAAATGCAAACGTGAGCGTGAAATCTGGCGTACTCAAAGTTTTTGTGCATATGCAGCGTTGATACATGAGGGCCCTGGTGCAGTGCAATCTGAGCTGCATCCAATGATTTTAATGGGCTCACCTAACTCCAGCCCTAACCCTACCCCTCACAGTGATGTCACTCACTTTATTTGAGTGCGTTGTGTCTGACATTGCATCGCTGAGTGATGCGATCTCAGCTTGCATCATAAAGGCTGCATCCAGATACTATTGGCTTTATTCGCATGTCTTTTATGCGATTAAGTTTTGCGCATAAAGTCATTTCACATTTTTGGATGGAAAAAAATAGCTATTGTTAGGTCCAACAATAACAACCTCCAGTCCAGTCACCATTTTATGGCATATCTTGGTAATCTTTAATGGTAAAACTCTCCCAAAACTTCTCTCTCAAGATTCCTGCTGTATCATTTTGTAACTGACCACAAATCCATATTTTTATTTAAGTCAACATTAAATACACTTGAGACAAGATGTTTAACATACTTTGAAAAATACCATGACACCACTGCGCTGCTTTAGTGATGAAGCTCATACTTCTGAAATGGCACACAAAATTACAGCATTCGAAGAGCCACAGTGAACATGACCCCACAGAGTACAATGAAACTGTGATAACCAGAATGTGTCTTGTTGTTCTTGTGGTCTTAAGCAAAGTTCCCTGCCGAGCAGTTAAAAACCAGAAAAATATCATCCATTTCCACACTTGTGATATAAGATCTCTTCTTAAAAAAAAAAAAAAAATGGAATCCTTGCAGTCATCAGGAGTGGAATGTCATAACATTGTTTTATCTGTACTTTTCTATATTCCTCATTTCACGTTTTATGATGTATTGTTTTTCATTTTGCCAATCGTTTATTCAAACATTTCCATTCAACCACTAAAACATCTGCCAGTCATTTCTGAAGGTGTAAGCCTTGTGACTTGTGGTTTGCAATGGAAAAGTCTGTGGTGTTGAGAACAATTTTTAATCTGTCATTCTGAATCTTTCTCTTCTTTTGCCAGGGAATGCCGGGACCAAAAGGAGATAAGGTAAATTCACCACACAATCCATTTCAGCATGATAAATGTAACATTTTTGGAGCCATTGAGGCATACCAGTGATAGTTTTAACTGTAACTGAATCATTTCAGTCTCATTTTTCCCAGTGAAATTTAAAGAATAAATCAAAACTAAGAGCTGCTCTCTTCACAGGGGGACCAGGGAGACATGGGGCCCATGGTGAGTGTTTCTACAGTAGAATATTATTATGATAACCCTTATAAATAATACATTATATATAATTACTTAACAGAGATTGCACTGATCCGAGTATAGCACTGGAAGTCCATTAAAGCCGTTTCCTTTTACATGACAGGGCAAGGTGGCTAAATGTTTTACACTCTGATGTTGATAGAAGTTAAATCTTTATCTGTTAAACTAATTTAAATTACAGCTTCAATATGGTATCCATCACTGTTCCCCAGCCTCCACTGAGTCTGTTTTCTTCTGCTCCACAATGAAAAACTGTGAGGCTTGACAAATCAGGAATGCGTCAGTGAAGATCATACCACTTTTCTATCTATATCTACTCGAGCTATCATTTAAATCATTTGGCTCTCCGTGCTTCTTTTCCACCATGCCTCATGACCATTCAACACAATTAGAAACATGTGCTTTGGCTGCTCTCTCTCTTTATGTTAAGAACATGTGTAGTATACGCTGCGCTGTTTTTGCTTTGCGCCATCAATCTGACAGTAGAAAAATGAACCAAATCATTTGGAGTGGTGACATGAGCAGTCAGGAAAAAGCAAAGCAGCCTTTCCCATGGGCCGTGTTCTTCTTTTTTGTGTGGATGTAAGAGCCAAATTAGCGCTCTTTCAACTCCACTTAAGCAGGAGGAGAACGACCCCTTGGAATCCATTAAAGTTCTCATGGGACAAGGGCCCCTTGACCTGGAAGTCGATTAAAGCCGTGTTTCCTTCCAGATGGCAGGACTTGAGTTTGTAGTGCAGGTGGATAGTTGACCTCCCGCTTACTTTTGACTTGTGGCTTTTGCCCTTTGCCCAGACACAGAAGAAGCAGTTCAGACTCACAAAGTATTCTTTGTGCCATCAGAGGCAGTCATGAAGAATGTTCAGAAATTGCATATGAAGGATAGTGCAGTGCACCATATAGGCTGCATTTACACTGCAGATCTTTAATTGCAATTTTGCGACTATGCAGTTTTTTTTTTTTGATGACCGGCTTACATCATTTTTTAAAAGTGACTCGTATTCGATTGTCTGCATTTACACAGCACTCTGCAAAGACGCAATGACCCAGAAAAAAATGACCATGTATTTAATGTGTTAGCAGGGGTTCCGAAAACAGAGATAAGAAATGAAGTTTAGGCAGGATAGTAGTTTTGGAATGATTTGTTCGGCTAGCTAATGATTAGCGATCAGGTAGTTAGGATCAGCTGAAGTTGATCATGTCACGTGCCCCTCTCGTTATTAGTTTATGAAACTTCACTTATGACACGTTCTAATTTGGCTATCTTCTTTTAATCTAGGCTTTTTTTAAACCAGTAGGGATCTTAATGTAATGTCCATGGCATGATTAATGCAATGCAATGCTTTATATTAGTTTATAAAACAGGTGTGAAAATCCAGTTCGTGGAGGGCCACAGCTTTGCACAGTTTAGTTTCAATCCTACTTCAACACACTTACCTGTAGATTTCAAACAAGATGCAAGGACTCAATAAGTTTGATCAGGTGTGTTTAATTAGGGTTAAAGCTAAACTGTGAAGAGCTGCAGCCCTCCAGGAACTGGATTTGACACCTGTGGTTTATAGGCTACACTGTAAAAAATATCTGTAATTTACGGTTTATTTAGAAAAAAAAAACGTATAAAAACGGGTGTTAAATTACTGAAATTTACTGTAAAATAACAGGTTAAATAACAGAAATTTACCAGAAATGTAAATTTAAGGACATTTCTGTAATTTAATGTCCGTTATTTTAGGGTAAACTTAATTTAACAGCCTTTATTTTACGGTTTATTTCCGATTTTACTAACGATCTGTGCTACCTACTCAGAATGTGCTACCGGAAGCTGACAAGATGTGCTAACCCTGTTTTGGTAGATGAAACATAAAATATTAAGTTACCAGTAGCACATTCTGAGGAGGTAGCACAGATCGTCAAAACACTGACACCCCAGCTTCCGGAAATAAACTGTAAAATTACGGGTTTTTTTTACAGTGTATTGTTTACATGGCAGATGTTGCGCACACACTCTCTCTCTCTCTCTCTATCTTTCTCTCTCTCTCTCTCTCTCTCTCTCTTCCGTTAACATGCTTAAATACCTGTATGCTACATGACAATATAAAAGCGTATTTTGTCCTAGTCTATGTGATTTAAGGTTTGGGACTGAAGTCTGTTCTGAAATGAAAGTGTCAGAGTTGACGTCATTCGCTACGGTTTTTAATGATGCGCGACTTGCACTGACAGCTGAAAACCTGATTTACTGTTTACACAGCAGACACAAATCCGATTCATATTAGATACATTTCTACATATGAACAAGGCCTGAATCTGATTTGAGTAAATCGGAATCCACATGATTTTTTCTTGCTTAAATGTACATGCATGGGCCATATTCGATCTGTGCCACATGAGAGAAAGAAATCAGAATTGAGTCACTTGAACTATCCAGTGTAAATGCGGTCTTTGAATGGAGTTGGAAATGCCCATTAATGGGGTTTAATTCAGTGTGTAATGTTACTGATTGAGATATACAAAGTTACAAGACACAACCCTGTTAAAAAAAACACACACACATTTTTGGTTTGGTGTTTTGAAAGATGGCTGCTGGTTAAACTCTTTTTTTTTTTAACTCTTCATGGGATGGCTTGATGTGATATTTTACTGGTTCTCAACAGGTATTAGTTGCTTAGGACCAGCTCATGACCAGCATAAACCATTTTAGGACCCAAAAATGACCAGCATAAATCTTTTTAGGATCAGCACAAGACCAAATTAATCCAGCTTCAAAACATACCTAACCTTAATAGGCTATTTTTTTTACAGGGAAAGTTCACCACAAAACAGTCTTTCTTTATATCAGTAAGAAGTTTTTGAACCCCTTTAATTACTTCTAGAGTTGAAATTTCTTTCTGGAACACACTTGTCACAGTATCCTAAATTTGAATAATAATTTCAAACCAGTGGCCAACAGTGGGCAAGGCCTGGCTGAGTTGCTAGATAAGTTAAGTTCTTATGTAAAGTGGGAGGTTGCAGAATCTCATTTGCATTCAAAGAGATGCATACGAAAACTCTCTACTACCCCCCTAAAATTGCCTTTACTTCATGGTATATTGATTTATTCGACACATTCTGAACACATCTTTCAATAACCCCATGAAACCAAGAAACATACTAAAAGCTACAGGTGATGGTTGAGGAGATGCCTCATCCAAATGTGTAAAGTGTTTTGAGTAGGCGTACTGAGCACGACACAATTAACTATTGCTTAAAAACTCCATACAAATATATAAAAATCCATGATAACCACTTTAGCATCACAACAGAAACTTGTGCATGGACACATTTCTGCTGACAATGTAGAAATCTAGTTTAGGCATGCTGTGGTTTTTCTCTACAGCTTTTCAGTTCAGTTTCTGCAGTGCAATCTTACACACAAAGAGACCCTAGACAATCTGTAAGAAAAGAAAATCATGAAAAAGTTTCTCCTGGGAAAAAGCAGCCTTTCTTCGTGAATCCATTGCAGACCTATCTAACCGCAACTCTAAACATAAACCTCATCACCATGTGCACCCATTGAATGTTAATCATATCCAGAAGGTGTATGTGGGCTAGGTTTCTTAAAACAGAAGAAAAGCCAGAATAATTCTCACAGGATTCCATTTCAAGTTGAAGCTCAGTTCTGCATAGAAATGCAATATGAAATGTCATCACCCTCCATTATTTGTATCCTAACAGTGTCATTCCCCAAACCATCTCCTCTTTCTCCCCTTATGTCATTTCCTGCCTCCGTTTTCTTCCATATATGACCTCTGATCTCCCAGGGACCACCAGCCTACGCTGCCTCTGCAGGCCTACTCAGTAATCAGATTCTCACGGTTAAGGTTTGTCCTTCCCAGTCTATCATGCCTGCATCTCCCGACACATGTGGCTGTCTGCGTTCACAAACATCTGTGTCTTCATACCTTACTCCATTTTGCTTTGTTTTTTCTACCTCTGCTTTGTTCCCACAACCCCATTCAATGAGGTACAGGCTGATTCTGTTTCTACAGCTGCAATTACTGGCATCCCTTCTTTCTTTCTTATGTGCTCTGTCCATTTTTTTTTCAATATCTGTCCTCCACTGTCAGATGGTCTTTCCTCGCTTTGAGCATGGCTTTCTCTCAGCTACGGCTGATCACCACTTTTTTCACAGGCGCCTCCTAAAGGTAGAGCCAGACTCTTTTTTTTTTCCCACTCAGTTTCTTCTTTGTGTCTGTTTCCTCAGTTAGCTCATTCTGGCAGTTTACAATATGTTGCAAGCCTGTTTTGAATTTCAGAGAGAGGCTAATTGTTATGTTTATTGGCAATACAGACAAAACGTGTTTGCCAGACAACAGCAAATAATCAACCTGAAATATACTATTTAGCAAAAAAGTGCCTTGTTATTTTAGCATGTTTAACTTTAAAGTGCCCCTATTATGGATTGTGAAGGGCTCATATGTTTTACCCGTTCATATTTTCCAAAAAAAAAAACAAAAAAAAAAAAACACTTGCATTGTCTTATGTGCATTTATTTGTATCTTATTTTATGTCAGCATTCTCAACAATTCATTTTTTCGAATCCCTTTTTTCAGTGATGCTAATTTGCAGTGACTGGTTCTTTGACCCTGTCTGTTGTGATTGGTCAACTTTGTTGAAGCCAAAATGTGCTGTTATTATTAAGAATATTTCTATGATAAATATCAGAAACATTTTTTGGATTAAAATACGAATTAATCATATAATAGGAATTAATATGCCCAGGCCACCCTTGCATGTTCGGTGGCTAAAAGATGTTTTGTATTTTATGAAACTAGAGATTAGATCGTCTCTTCAAAGACATAACAGAACATTTGTTTAAATTTGGAAGCTTTTTTTCTTTAAAACTCTCCAGCTGGATCTAGACTGATCACCCTTGCTAGTTTTGACAATAATAATACATTACGTCACCTTTGAATTATAAGATTCTATCTGACATTTTTGTCAAAATTGAGTTACTGACATATTCTTATTAAATGACAATGTATCTACATTATGGGATGTTTTTTTTTAATACGTTTTTACATTTTAAGACTTTTTATTTAAAAAACAAATGTTACACACATACTACAGGAATCAGTCCAAGGCACTCGAAAAATGTGGAACTTAAAAAAATAATAAAATTTAATTTTCCACATTTTTCGAGTGCCTTGGACTAATTCCTGTTGTTGTTTTGATGAATCCCTTACCCAAAGAGCACCCACAAATATCTGAGTTACCCCTGAGCACTTTTTGTTTGTTTTTCTGGATTGTTACACACATACTGTTTGCTGTGGAATGCAAAAACTTTGAAGCTCAATATCTCAAAACCCTTCAGAACGCAGATAGAACCTTATAATTCCAGGGTGACGATTTGTAATCTTTCATTATATGAATTGTAACATTGAGATTGTTGCATAAATGTAGACATTTGCCCCTAATTTATTTGTGCAATTAGGTTTTATTTTATTATTATTTGAAGTTATTTATTTTTCACTTATTTCTGTAAGGGTTGATTGAAATGTTTGTAAAATGTAAAAATGTTAAATAATCATAAATCTAAAAAAGGAATGAAGGCATTACAGTTTGTTGCTTTTGTCCTCCTCTGAGCAATATGGAAGTGTGTTGGTTCCCCATATTTCAGACTGGTGACTTCAGCACCTGATCTTCGAGAAATAATTAAGTTGAGATCCATTTTTTCTAATAGTTTAGTTATTTTGGACGCAGGTATGCAGCCATACGTTTTTTGACTGCTGCAAGAGCTTTAATAGAAACAAGTAAATATTTGTATAACTGAGTATTTTTTTTTCTTTTGAGAGACAACCAATTTATATACAGTGCACTTTCAGATTTGAAACTTTGCAATATGATTTCATTCACTTAGAGGTGTGTTGCAAACCGGATGAAAGGTAATTTTCAGAAATTTGTAATAGGGGCACTTTAACATATTTAATTTTTATTTGAACCTTTTAATGTTATTTGGAGCTGATCCTTTGGTCATACTTTCGATTTTGGTTTTAGTAGGTTCAATTAATATTGTTGCTGTCTAGTGGAAACTTTATATTTTCATAATATTTCAGATTTTTGTAATCAAATCAGTGCTAATGATCACACCTTATGTTTCTATAAATATTTAACTATCAAAGAGTGTTCCAAAGAGCTTGCGATTGTCAAAACCATAAATATAACATAATATGATATAATATAATAATTTTTTTGGAATTTCTAAGCTGATGAAAGTCTGGTAGGTGTATTTATTAGTAAAACACATACCTTATTTTTATGCTATGTGTTTTTAGGCGGTTGTTCTGAAATTGTAGTTGCTAGAGTGCTTACTATAATCAAGACGTACGATCATGTTAGTTTTGTACTTTTCCTGAAAATCTGATTTGACACAATCTGCACTGTATAAAGCACTGTAAAAACAAAGGTAACTTGACTTGGCCTTTCAGTGGTCATACACCTCATTTGAGCTTGACTTTGGTCAAATGTTATTAAGTAATAACTCATGCAAGTCTCTGGCCCCTAAACATATATAAAACCATGCTGCCAATTCTGTGACCTAATCAAAACTGACAATGCAGCGTTTAATTATTTAAATTTAAACAGTTTGCAATAGAGTTTGCATATATGATGTTTCTATGTGACAGACAATATGAAGCATGATTAATATGCAGGCAAAGTAAAGTACTGAAGTCAGTAACTCTATGTAAAGATAAAATTCACATTCTTGTTCTTTCTCTGTCTGTAAGGGTGATCAAGGTCAGGCTGGGCCTCCAGGTCCTCCAGGACCTCCAGGCACACCTGGTCCCAGAGGGCCTCCAGGAAACACAGGCAGAGATGGACCGCAGGGCCACCCAGGAGAGCCGGTGAGACCCTCACTGTCTATCTCAAATAGTCTCTTGTGTCTATGTCAGTATTGAACTTGCTCGTTCTACATCTGTTGTGACTCATATATGAGTCACACTGTGTTGACGACCCCTACTCAGAAGACCAGGTGCAGCTTCTCACTGAGCTGAACCCTGTACTCAGTGTTGGGTTCAAACATACTGCATTTGCTTCTACATTTGCGTTCTTGGCATATGCTTCACTATCACAGTAACTTGGTTTAAAAATAATGCATATTTTATATAAAGCTAACTGTAGAATACAAACTGAGTGCAATACTGAGTGCAATTGGAAGTTATGTTGCTGTGTGCTTTCAATAGCATTCTTGGTGGCTTCTAGGCTTTTTCAATTATCGATCATGTCCAGTCGTCTTCATAGCTGTGAGATAAGCCACTCTGATCGTCTGTTACAATGAAAGCACACAATCAGCAATTAAAAGAGTACACAAACAGATGGCTCTTCTAACATTACTTCATCCTGTCACTCCAGTACACCAGGCGTAGGTAAATTGAGCCCTGCAGAATTTTGCTCCCAACCATAATCAAACACATCGGCTACGTTCACACTGCCAGGCTTAGTGCTCAAATTTGATTTTTTTTCTCAAATTTTTTTTCATGGCTGATTTGCAGTGTGAATAAACCTGACCCGCACGCGCAGAAGTACAGATACGGACTGCACAAAATGTCTAATTATGCACACGCGATACTCCATGAAGTAAGCATGTTGTCAAATCATGCTAATATGATTATTGCCCTTTTCATAGACAATCGTGGTGTATTTCATGAACTGTAAAAGGTTGTTCTGCTACTACTGTGTATTTCGGCATTTGAAATCTATAATTAGTCACTTGTGATTGAAAACACTGATCATTTGTGATTTGACAACCGTGGTGCGCGTTTGTTTGACCACCGGTGTACTGAACTCATCAAGGGTTAATGAGCAGCCGCAGACTGAACTGTGAAGGCAGAGTTGGTTTATCTCTGTTTGCAGAGTTATTTCATTTTATTTCGTTATAAACAGCAGACACGTACAGAAGGGGGATTTGGGCTCGAGCACCTGCCCTTTTTTCTCTCAGAAGGAAAGTTCTCCCTCCTTTGCACATGGATCCCCTATCCGCAACACTCACAACGCTCATCAGCTTTGTGATCAACTCATTCCCAAATTGTTAACAAGGACCAGTTTTGCCTCCAAAATCTTTTTCAAAATAAACAACCAAGTCGGCGCCAATGGTGTAGTGGTTAGTGCGTCGACACATGCACTCCGGTGCTTTCGGTGACCCGGGTTTGATTCCGCCTCGCGGTCCTATGCCGATCCTTCCCCTCTCTCTGCTCCCCATGCTTTCCTGTCAATTCTCTCTACTGTCCTGTAAAAAATAAAGGTGAAAACCCAAAAAAAATAATAAATGAACAACCAACTTACTGTGGTAAAGTAATTACTACGTTTGCTATTCTACTGTGCTGCTGGAGTAGATGATGTTTGCAGCACAGAATGATGACGCGTGTCACTCAAAGATTATGTAAAAGTCACATGAAATCCAACATAACCGTTTACACTGCGGTCACATTGCAAAACATCAGATCTGTGTCTGATTTAAGACTACATATGAAAGTGGCACAGATCTAACCTGAAAAGATCAGAGTCCATGCGGTTTTGGTTGTTCACACTATCATTACCTGAGTCACATGTGGGCAAAAAATCAGATTCGCGCCACATTTGGCTGCAGTGTGAACGTAGCCATCTAAACAAGCTAATCAAGGTCTGAGGCTGTATTTAAAATTCCCATATTCCCTATTAGTCCAGTAATATAGTCCACTTAAATGAGGGAATGAAATCGAATGATTGAATCCAAACACTGAGTGCACTGGAAGGGGTGCCATTTTGTTTACTTTGGTGAGCTGTTACTTACAAATGAAAGTATTTAAATTTCTGTCATTATACAAACATTAATTGGACAATGAAATCATAATTTATTTAGAAACAAACACTAATAGAGTTTTATTGTGCACTATTTAAAAGGGGGGGGGGGGGTGCTTGTCTCATACAGCCTGGGTGTTAGAAATCTACAGGCAGGTGGGATTTTATCCAGGCCAGAATAAAACTCGGCAGGACGATGACTCTGCAGGACTTTGACTCTCCATGACTGAACTCGCTTACCCCTGCAATACACAAATGTTTTCATTATGTCATGGCTATCTAGTTCTTTGGTCCCCAATTAATGTGTCATGGAAAATTTAGGGAAGCCTAGTTCAAAGTCTTTTTGATATGACTTAGACCTTGTGTCTCTTAGGACATCCTGGCATGACTTCCTTAAAACCCTATAGTTTAATCTTTAAAAACTATTTGAGCAATATTTGGTTTCTTTCATTTTTTCTACCCTTATGTTGTTTCATACCCATACAATTTTTTTGATAATCAGAAAGAACAATCCATTTTTATTCAAATCTGAGTGATTTATCTCTTTTTATTGAAAGAATATTCACGCAGAACTCTGAAGCTTCCAGGAACTACATTGAAAGTCCCTAATATAGGATACTTGGTGATTTATTGTGCAGCCCAAGACAACATAACTCTTATTTGTAGGCATTTGTAGGTTTCCAATGTTTTCCTACGCTAGTTTATCCGAACATATGCTACGCACTTTGTTTCCTTTTCAGACTACCATCTAAACCAAACAAAGAATGGTGCAATGATGAAGGGCAAAAATTCTCACCCTGCCTCTGCCTCATATTGGGAGCAGATGTTCTGGGGTCAAGAAGCTCAAAGGCCATTTCCTGTTATTGTATCTCAAATTGTGTTTATATATGGCTAAGTGAAACCACCTCATTAGGCCTAATGCCATGCCTTTGTCCTTCTCACAACAAGTGCTGTGGAGTACGACAAACAGACGTGGCGCTGCAGCTCATATGAATAGTCGATGATTCCAGTGCCTGTAGTACATAATACATAAAGTACATACATACATAAAGTGTTACAATTAAATTGAATTTCAGTCAAGTGTTTTGCAATATTTATTCAATGTCAAATCCCTAACTGGCCTGAAAATGTCCTTGCAAGCTTACAGAGCATCTGCAAATGAATTCTGAAATATGTTTAAATAGCCATTATGTGGTTAATCTTAATTTATTTTGTTCTGAATTCATGTTTACTAGCTGAACAATCTCGTCTGTGTTTAGAGAAAGAACTTGCTTAAATTCAGAGCTGCTGGGTGTGTCCAATTATTTAAAGACGTAAGGGTAATTTGGGGGTTTTGTTCACTGGATCATTTTAGGAATAATTATATTACTTTTAAGTAGTTATACATAAGAGATCCTGACATATAGAGGAGAGTAATTAGAGTAGACCAACTGCATGTATTTCCCTTTAAATATAATTAATTTTTTGTGTTTGTATTCTAAAACACAGGGTCTTCCAGGAAAAGACGGAAATGAGGTATTATAATTGAATAAATTTAATTTCTATTTTAATATATAATTCATTTATTTTTTTTAAATAATCTACAACTTTATTTACATATTGTTGCTTAAAGGTGCAATAGAAGATCTTGAAAATGCTAACTTTAGTCTGATAGTATTAAAAATCTACACCATTCAAAGCCACACTACTTGAACGCCTGAATGCGCACTAGAAAATATCGCTACAAAACAACTTGTAGAGACAAATTGTTTTATAGTACAGTAAGTAATTACAATACCCAAAAACTTTTAAAAAGTAGGTAGGTTATTGATGTTTTCCTGCCATTCTCTGTATGAATGAATGCACCGATGACATAAACCTTTCTGCGCAAACAGGGTGCACAGAGGTATGCAGTTACATACTGTATTTGACAGACAGACAATCAGAATGTTTGGACCAAATGTTACGATTGGATAAACTTTTCTTGCTTCTAGACTTTCAGCAGAATATTAAAATACAGATAAATCCACTTGGACCTTTAACCAGCATAATAAAAACTGTTTCTGAAGATAATCACCTATTGCACCTTTAAATAAGACTTGCGTAGTTGTTTCACTTCGTAGTTCCCAACTCTGGCCTTCAAAACGCTCAGTCCTGCACACTTTGTGTGTTCTCTTTATTTGATGCACCTGATTCACATCATCAGCTAGTAGAAAGAGAACTCCATGAAATAATCTTTTTGTCAAATGACAGACATACAAAATGTGCAGGATGGAGAGCCCCGAGGACCTGAGCCGGGCACCACTAGCTTAAGTAATGCAATTTATTTTCCCACAGGGAACAAGAGGGCCTCCTGGCATGCAGGTAATGTGCATGTATTTGTCCATAAGCATGTGATCAGACACAGTGGTCTCTAAAGTATCTGAACATCTTCAGCTATATATTTTCAAAGGTTGGGCTTAGTTTCAGTGAAAGGAGCCCTTAATGCTTCAGTATACCAATATATTTTGTACAATTTCATGCACTCAACTTAATGGGAACAGTTTGAGGACAGCCCCTTTCTGTTTAGTGGTGGGCAACCAAGATTGCCCACCACTTCACAAAGCAAGGTCAATAAGGACAAGGATGAATGTGTAACACGGATGAACGGAGGAACTTGACATGCCTATATAATTTCCTCGCCTCTACCCCAATATGAACACCTTTTGGGAAGACTGTGGAGACCGCTAGCGAGGTCTCAACATCTTTGACTGACCTTACAAATGCCCTTTTAGCAGGATGGTTAAAAATTCCCATAAACACACTCCTAAACATTGGGGGAAACCTTCTCAAGTGAGTTGTTATAGATGTAAAGGGAGGACCAACTCCTCATAAAACCCTATTTTTTACACTGTAAAAAATACAGGGTTCCACAAAATTCATTCATATTGCCCCAACACAAATCGATTAAGTTTACAATTTTAACAAATTTATGTAGATTGAACATAAAAAAATGTAGTTGCCCCAATGAAATCTTAAGAATTGTGTTGTTTCATTTTAACTAAGTAGTTTGAACAAGTAAAAACATATATACATTTTTGAGTGTATGTATGTACTTTAATGAAATATCAATCTAAATACTTAATATATTAAGTTTATATATTATATTCAATATTTTTAAGACAATTCTAAAGGACAATTTTTATTCACTTAAAATGTTATTAAATTTTTTACCATTCATACCATTTTTTTATTTGATATTGTAGAGGTAAAGTTTGAACATTATGTTTCTACTCCTAGTTGCAATTATATTATTTCAGGGTAAAAAAATTTGACAAAGTTTTCAGTTCAAATATTCAATAAGCAAAACAGTGCTAAAGCATGGGAAAACTGGCCCCAATTTTCATTCCATTTACATCAATGTCTGCAGAGAAAACAGTGACTTGCTATCAGGAAATTATTTATCTCTGCATATATTTTACTTCAAAGCAAAGACTTCTCAAATTATGTGTTTGTTTCTGACCAGCCAAAGCCATTCCTCGTCAACCTGTGTAAATAGTCTGAACAGCAGATCTTGACAATCAGCTATTGCATGAACATAATGCACAAATTTCTAGTGCTGTTTAAACAAGCTTATAAGCTGGTTAGTTCTGAATGCTTTCAAGTAGCATATGAGGCCAAGTAAAGGCCTCTGCTTCAATGTGTTTTTGCATCTTTCTGTTGTTCCTTGACATGACTTGTATTTTGAAGAGGGCCATCTGAAATTTTCTCCTTAAATGAGCATTTTCCCAGGATCATATTTCCATTTCAGTTATTCACTTTAAAAGCATTGGGGAAAAACTATTATTAGCCAAAAAAACAAAAGTAAATTTACTGAACATATGTACACAGGAGCCTGAGAAAATGCTTGATTTAAAAGACAACTTCAGATGCCTCTTAATGATTTTTTTGCATCTGAATTCTTCACTTGCACATTTTGTTGTGAATGTTGTGTCTAAATGGGAGCCCCATGGCTTTTGACTTTAAAAATCCATAAATCAATTGCATTTTAGCTGAGATTAAGTGTTTATAAGTGTCCATGCTGTGAATATACTTACATAATATTCACTACTATTTTTCATAACACAGAATATGCCCAAGAAAAATATCCATTGTATTCTCATTTAGGGTATGAATGGTGCAAATGGCATGCCTGGACCACAGGGCCCCTCAGGTTCAAAGGTTAGATTATTAGCCACTTAAACATTTTAGTTTTTTGATACAAACAAATACAACCATAATTTCATGCAGTTGTTGATTTGTTATACAGGGGGATCAGGGTGCTCCAGGTTTAGAGGGGAAGAGAGGGATTGATGGATCCCCTGGCATGAAGGTGAGCTGTTTTTCAAAAGCTGGCAATATGTTGCACGAAAATCCAGTTTATTACATGTAAATAGTAACATTATATAGTAATTCTGGTCCTATTTTATAGGGTGAAAAAGGAGATCCAGGACCCCAGGTCAGAATTTTTCAAAGTCTCTCACCCATTAAACATTTCTATTCCCTATGTTGCTTAACATTGTCATTTCTGTTTGTTTGTTCCTCAGGGTTTGCCTGGAGAAAAAGGAGCAACTGGATTCTCAGAAACTGATGATTTTGCTGTTCGTTTCAAAGCTCTGCAGGTACATTTTTCAACCAAAGATCTTCAACCGTGCACTTGAAGGCCCACTATTCAGCTTAGGTCCAGCCTTAATCAAACATACCTGAAACAGCAAATGAAGGTTCTTAGTGTGCTGAAGCAGATTAAATGTTGCAAGACAGAGGGTCCCTAATATCAGGGCTAAAGACCTCTGTTCTAAACAGAAATTTTAATATAAAGATAAGGAAGTTTAATGATTTCTAGTAATTACTTTTTGTATAAATATTTTCCTCATATCAATAGGGGCCCCCAGGTCCTCCTGGAGAGCAAGGGCCAAAAGTAAGTAATACATTTTCGCTGAATAACAATGCCATACAACAGTTAATATTGTTGAGACACGTTGAGTTGTGGATATATATCTAAATACGTTTTTTTTTTTTTTTTACAGGGAGAAATAGGGTTAAATGGAGCACCTGGACCTGAAGGAAAGCAGGTAGGTGATTACACAGTGTGTACTCATTCAGACACCTTTACTGCATAATGTAATGTGTTATCTTATCTAGGGCCAAAAGGGAGAGAGAGGTGATGTTGGGGAGCCTGGAGCAGCAGGAACAAAAGGGGAACTTGGGCTGACAGGGCCTCCAGTGAGTATTAACAATATATAGCAGCTGATGTTTACTGCAGCTATATGGGTTTTACATTATTTTTCATGGAATTATAGGGGGCAGCAGGTCAAAAGGGAGAAAAAGGAGACTCTAGGCTCGAGGATAATCTAGTAAGTTTAAAACAAACCGTTCTTATCAAAATTTGAGAATTTTTTTTACATACAAATGTTACCAGCATGGATCTTGATAACTGTCTTATAGGCCCAGATTATCTCCTTGCCTGGCCCTCCAGGGCCTCCCGGACCCCCTGGGCCTGCTGTAAGGAAAATTGTTTAATACTTCTTGACTTTAAAAAGGATAAAGATATTCAGAAGTTGCTTTTAAGCAATATAAAATAATAATACAAAACCTTCTTCCAAATATTCCAGGGATATCATGGACTGCCTGGATCCAAGGTGGGTTCTGTGGGTGAAACTGTGAAACGCTTTTGTAAAGAAAAAATGTTTTGATTAAATGTTTAAAATAAAATTGTGTTGTAACAGGGAGAACCTGGTGAAGCAGTAAAAGGAGAAAAGGGGGATGCTGGAGAGAGAGGTCCACCTGGACAGAGGGTAAGTTTTGCTGCAAAATGATAAGCAGAAACCTATTAAAAAATCTGGAGCACTAAAATTCTGCTTGTTGCGCATAGGGTCTTCAAGGCTTTCCAGGATCTAATGGATTGGTAGGCCTGCCAGGTGCAAAAGGTGAAAAGGTCAGTGTTTTGTGTACCAGAGTTAAAGAAAATAGTAACACATGGCATGTTCTGATATCTGACTTTTTTTCTCATTGTGGTTTGAATTCTAGGGAAAACAAGGTGAACCAGGATTAGATGTAAGTGATCAATGTGTTGTGAGTTATTTAAGTTTATAAAGTAATTTCTTACTTAACATGGCTGTCCTGTGACAGGGTTTCCCAGGGCTTCAAGGAGAAAAGGGAGACAGAGGAGACAAGGGGGAGAAGGTTAGCGAAAAAATGCTTATTTTCCAATCATTTCTATATGTGTATAATACTGTTTGGCTATACATGTATATATGATATTTTGTTTATATATAAAATCAGAGCCTGGCTTTTTTGCATACCTTTCTTCTGTGTACTTGTTTATGGCTCCATGCAGGGCGAGAGAGGCTCAATAGGAAAGAAAGGTCTAAAAGGACAGAAGGGAGAGCAGGGACCTCCAGGGCTTGATCAGCCTTGTCCTGTGGTATGTTATGAAACTGTTTGAAAAGATAAATGCAATGTGCTTTTCTACACCTTTTAATGTGTATGGCAAAAGATCACACTGTGTGCACGTGTTCGAAGAGTTTACTATAGCTAGGATTTGACATGCATGGGTTTCACTGACAGGACACCAATGGGTTTAAAGTACATGGTGGGGAGGCAAAGGCCCCATCAGATGCCCCCTGCCCTTTGGTACAGTATTATTATTTGTGTTTGTGTGTGGTCACATCATATGCTTTTTCCATCCTTACTGTGGATTCTTGTCTTCAACCATGAGATCTGATTTAGGGTGCTTTCACACCTACACTTTTGTTTCGGAACGTATCTCGTTTGCCCAGTTAGTGCGGTTCGTTTGTCATATGTGAACAGGGCAATCGCGCTCTGTTCTGCGCCAAAGTAATCGCTCCGAGATCGCTTGAATGAGGTCGTCTCGGCTCGATTGAAACGAACCCTGGAGCGGTTCGATTACAGTGAGAAAGCGATCCGATCTGAGCGCGGTAATATCACAGTGTTTTATGGATATGTAATACGCATACGGCGATATGAAAAGAGAATTATGATTAGGGCGGGAAGTTTCGTGAGTCTCTGGATGCCCGCAAACGAGTGATAATCTCCAGGTAATCTCGCGTCTCCCTTCCGGTCCTCAAATATGGCTACGTCGCGCACCCTTCTCACCCCTCCCCACCGCATCTCTCCTCAGACACATCGCGCGCGCACCCTGTTAATCACCATCAAACCCCCACCTCTCCTGACAGCTTAGTGGGACGCTGCAAAATAAACCCTGACAATCTGACCAATGTGAGGAGAGTTTACTCGCACGGGACTTGTTTCAGCTCTTTTGGTCCGATTAGAAACTTTGTAATGTGAAAGCGAACTGCTCCAAGAGCAAAGAGCAACAATGTAACAATTGTAATCTCTGTTTCGGAACAACTGAATCGATTTACAGGTGTGAAAGCACCCTTAGATGGCAAGGCATAGACCAGCTTCAAAACTACAAATGTAGTTTGTACAAATGTACTGAATTTTATATCTATGCAAAGTGTTCATTGGTGAAATCAACATTTTGTCAACCATAAACATATTTTAAAAGAGTATAATTTGTAAATCATTTTGTACCAAAGGTTATTAAACTGAAGCAAACCTGCATATGCAATACAGTCTAAAAAAATGTTTAAAGTTAAAATTATTTGCTATTTGTTTTCAGTAAATGTACCAACGTAGATATATCTGGCCCTATTGCTTAGTTAAACCACTTAAGTCTATTCAGCAAAATTTTGAATAAGGGGAAACAGTCACTAGTTATCTTTCCATCCAATTATTTTATGCGCATTTTGGATATGAGCATAAAAAACGATTGATGGAAAGGCCAAGATACACATACATTTTGAAAATGTGCAGTAAAATGTATGCGCATAACTGAGTTGGATAAACGTTTTATTTGATAAAAAAAAAAAGCACATATATTACGTTGTAAACACTTTTACCATACAAATTCCAATATCTGCGTTAAAGAAATGTCATGTGATTTTGTTAAAAGAGATCATGTGGTGATAAAAATGTGTGTGAATGGACAAACAGCAGGCTGACGACACTGTAAAACTGAAATGTTGTTTTGGTCATTCTAAAACGATGTAACCATTTCAGTATTAGTTAGGGATGCACCGATATGGATTTTTTGGCTGATATCCATAACCGATAATCTTCAGACTTGGAGGCCAATAGCCGATATGTATAGGCCAATAATGATAAATATTTCAAAATGTTATATTTTTATACAGCAAACTTCATAAAAGATTGAACTACTCTTATGAACTGGATAATCTATACACAAAACAAAAAAGCTATAATTTCAAAATTGCAAGGTGAATATATAGACCTATATTCACGATTTTACAAAAATCAGCATGCAAAAAATACATTATTTCTTTTTCTTCACATAGCAAATTAGCATACAACTTGACTGTTGCATAAAAATAACAGGTTAAATAACAAAATGGGATTTAATAAACAAGCAAGTTAAATATATTTTAAATAAAATGAAAGATCTAAGGACTAAAACCAGTTAAAATTGTCTTGAATAAAACGTGTTACATTAATGTACATATATGTCATGTGCAAAAAAAAAGCCTTTTTAAAGGTGTTTTGACAGTTTAGAGCAACAATACAAGCGAAAAGCTAAATATAGATTGTATTACTTTAGAAAGTGCAGCTCAGATTCATCCTATTTGGCGCTTTACATTCTTTTGAACACATGTAGCTGCTGCTTGTCAATCAGACAACGCTTCTATGTTCGTTCTTGCTGTCAATTGCGGGGAAAAAAAATCTATGAAAAGTTTCGATAAACCGCTGTGAGTTTCACTCAACTCAAACACAGAGCATAATATGTGTGCGGTGACAGCTCTCATGTGTGCTCGTTATAATCAATATGAATATTCCAATCAAACTAAATACAATCAAACATCAACAACACATGGCAAGCAGTACGTTGATAATAACAAATAATCATATTAGATTACAAACAACCCAACGAGTGGTTTAGCACATGTGCATCACTGCTGTTATCTTTTACACATGTAATATTTTTTCCTGAGGCGATTTAAAGCAAAATACACAACGACACTCCATCAAACATATCTACAATGATAAGGAACATGGTTACTTACTGAGTTATTAACGCACAGCGATAACACATAAAGATAGGACGGACTTTGATGGAATAAACAGTGTGAGGAGAGCTCCATTATAGTGCACTGAACAAGTCTAAACAAGTTCCGCCCACGCATGCGCGAGACAGGCAGGTCTTTACAATTACGTAATTTATCGGCTTGAAGATATGGGCCTAATTTAGAAATCGGATTGATAACGATTATCTTAAAAATAGCATTTATCGGCCGATAACGATATGGCTGCCGATGTATCGTGCATTCCCTAGTATTAGTGTTATTGCATTACTAATTACCTTCAGAATCAAGAGCGTCTGTGCTCCACATCTCGCGCCTTCTAACGCCGCCACGTGTTCATTACATTTTGGCATTTGTCTTCTGAGGCGCAAGTTGTTTATTAAATAAAAAAAATAATTCACGCAGCGTCTCTTACTGCAGCAAATTATTTTTTATCTTCACTGTTGATTTTTGGCACCAGTTTATCAGGAAGTGACGATTTTGTTCTCTTTAAGTCATTGGATTGCAACGCTGCTTTATTTGAATATTTTCCAGTTTTGCAAATAAATTTTATTTGCATTTTTGGTTGGAAACATAGCTAACGATCCCCAATTCAAATTTTAGTGCAAGTGTTCTTATCAAATCTATGCCTTGCCATATACAAATCAAGGTCACATGAGAAAAATAAATCAACCCACCAGGGTTTTTGATTTTGTCCATCTGAGCTGTCCGTCACAGCTGATGATGTGAACATGATGTGTCCTGTGGTTCACATTTATACTTACTGCCAAAGGTGTTCCTCTGTGGGTTAGTGTACTTCCTTTTAGTCTCACGTAATCATTGGTGGCAGGTTTCATGTGTGATCACCTCATTCCTCCTCCTCACTCCATCAGGAGCAGCTGTTTAACAAATCATTGATTTCCTTTTTTTATTGACAGGGTCGAGATGGACTGCCCATACCAGAATGCTGGCATAAGGTATAATCATATATGAAAACTGAGATCGTTTTTTCCATCATATTTGTCATAACAGTGGTGATATTGCAGTATGACTGCAGTGACTGCTTTCTGTGCGTGTCTTCTAACAATTCCCTCCTATTGCTCTCTTGCAGTAATGACTAACCTGGAGCATGGAGTTTGTATATATTGATATATATATATATAAATATTTTTTTTTTGCAAGTAACATTTGCTTTTTCTTCCTGTTTTAGTCATCTCTTATTTAATAAATTGGTTTTCAAACAGGAGCCCCCTGCAAAAATAATATCTGTATCGCTGCATTAACAAAAGAGGGGCTTTTTCACTGCCACAATAACAAGTTTAGAAAAGCAATCAAGACAGAATCATAAAGTAGGTGCTGAGACTGATATTAAAACGAGACATGAACTCTATGCTTGTGGATGCACAGAGAATGCTGCTGCTATCCTTATGGAGAGAATGGGTCTTAAACCAAAATAACCCTGAACTTTCTAACAGACTGACCAATGTATCTACAAATGATGACTTCTTCACTGGCTGTCTTTTATTCCTGGGCACCATTTGAAACAATCAACCCCATCTATTCTTCATTAAATGTTTGCTTTGAAAGGAAGGGGCTTCAGGGCAAGCCAAGCCCCCATCTCAGCCCTAAAGGAACACTGAATGGACTACATGGAAGGAGTATGCTTTGCCAAAGTTCAACTGGATGTTTCAAATGAAAGTGCTCGCCTGTAATACAGGGAGGAATGCGATGTGGACGTTGCACTGGATTTGTAGTGGTGTACATATGGACAAATCTGTACTCAGGAAACTCTATTCACTTGGTCGATAGGAAATGACAATGAAAAAATATTTTGTTCCATTTGTCAGTAAATAATACACCAGTGGAGTGGATGAAAAACTATAATAACTGATATGTAAAGTTGTTGTCGTAAGTCTTGTCTGTTTATATGAACCCTCACACTGACTAATACTTTGATCTTTTATTCATTGTTTTTGTGAGGGATTGTCTGCATCTTACTTGTGCATTATATGAAGTTTGTGTAAATAAAATTGATCATTTTTACATTTTAAAGGTTTACTGTGTATATAACTATGTATAAAATCTATTTTTTTTTCCTCGCTTATTTTTTAAAATTGCTTTCAAAATGTGTTGTTGCTTTCACACAAAATAGATTTCACACTGTGCTCAACAATTTTTAAACATACATCAATGCAAATGTTTCTATCTTCACACAAGTTTCATGTGTTGCTGCCGAATGTTTCAGAATTTAAATGAGAAAGTTCTTATGTACAGTATACTACAAATAAATCATGCAGACATCTCAAAGTACTTCTACTGCCCTCTTGAGTACTGAGATGTGTTACTGCAACAGTAACATAAATTCTGTATATTTAGACCACACATTTCAAACGGAGTTAACATATATGGCCATAAAATCTTGTTTACATGCATTTAAAGTATTTTTATGGCCATGGTGCAAAAACACCAGGTAAAATTGATTTCTCTAAAACAGAAAATGCTTATACAGTTAAAACTGTGGCTTATTGCAAATACTGCATCATGTGTACCCACAAATCACTACAGAGTATATACAGAAATCCGAGAGTGAAATACACACAATATAGACTTTTTCCATTCATTTTAAGACCTTATAACCACTGTTACATGTACCACCTTTCTAGGGGTTTTGAGAAAAAGTACAACAAAAAATTAAGATAAATAAAGATATCAAATTTAATTTGTTTGAATACATAATAATAATAATAATAATAATAATAATAATAATAATAATAATAATAATAATAAATCCATGTTTAATAATGTGCGTGAATAATCTCCTTTTTTTCTATCCCAGCATACTTTCACCTAAGATATAAAAATGTTGTCTTTTATACATTGTTTATCAGAGTCAGTCTTTTTTTTTTTTTTTTTCATTTTCTGGAAGGGTAAACAAAAAGAGAAATACTTAAATAAAATTTTTATAAAAAAATAAATAAAAACTTGTTTGGCCAAAATCATCAGGAGAGGGTGAGGCCAAAATAACAAACAAAACAAAAGCTTTCTAAATAGACAATAAGTCTGATTTTTCCAATTGCAAAAAAAAAAAAAAATAACTCAAATCAATGACAATGTTCTCTCCTCACTCCCTTACTAAACCCAAACAGGAGAACACTTAAAGGGGGATAAACACTAAATAAATTGGCACCCTACACAACTTACTTTAACTCTTTCACATAAAGTTACAAGTCTCTCTTATTTAGGCTACAATCTCACAATTTTATGTTTTAAATATCACACTATATCACTGGAATAGCGAAAAAACAAGGAATTTCTCTGCGCTTTGCTACTCTGTCTCTTAATAGAGTGGAGGAACTATGACACCAATTTGTATGCAAAAACCCGGAAGCGAGTAAGCATTTTAGCACTTCCAGTTCCCTCGTCCCAAAATCAATTGGTTTTTTGAATGGGGTTTCAGTAAAATCGCTTAAATAAGGTTCGTGGCTGACACAAACTCAAGATACTTTCACGTTTTGTTCTACGACAAAACAAAAAAAAAACACATCAGTTACATTACACTCTTGATTTTTTAAATTGGTTGCGCTTCTTTAAAAAGATGGTTGCTATCAAGTTGCTAAATGGGACTACAGGTGGCATGGGAGATATTACACGTCATCGAGCTGAACTGGTCTAGAGCGCAGCTCGCTTGCGTTGGATATTTGGATTTGTCTGTGATTTAAGTATTTTCATGAATAGTATTTTATAGTTTGTAGTATTATTCTAACTGGAATTCAGATTGTATGTAGATAATTCCTTCACTTGTAAAGGCTGTCGAGAAAGATTTATTTGTTGATCTTTTATTTTAATAAACAATATTATGAAGATACTGCTTACCTGTGCAGCATTTCTCTGTCCTGCTCTCAGTAATGCAAACGTGTGAATAAATGTGTAAAAATACATATGATATAACTGTCATTTTAACATGATCAAGTGATTTTGCGTCTGTTTTTTTTTTTTCATCTGAACACATTTAACTCTGTCATAACTGCAATATTTATACTCCTCTATAAAATGTACAGCATATGTGACTGTATGGGCTGCTTCTCGCTGTACTTCATGACAAAAAAAGGAAAATTGAATGTTGCTCTGTGTCCATGATGGAACTTGCAGGCATTTAAAAGACTTGTTCCTCACGCCTCATTTCTGTCGTCTTTTTTGGAAGCAGGCTTAAAACAAAACCAAAACAAAACCGTAAAGCAAAACAGATGTATTTTCCACGTAAAAACTATCCAAAATGCACGTACAGTAGGTCTGTGTGCATTTGCGTATATATATGTTTATATATAGCGTGGATTATAATAACAGAGAGATTAAATGTTTGTCACGAACCATATTTCTAAAAATAAGCTTGAAAAGTTGCCTGCGCAGCGTGGTGCTGATGTCATAGGCGAGCGCCCCGAGGGCACTATAGTCCGTTGATAGCCTAATGTTAGCTTTTCAATTCTTGCATTTGCATTCAAGATCCAAAGTGCTCAAAGTTGTATTTTTGTGTGAGGATTATCCGGTTGGACAAAACGTGTAAGTGTAATGAACAGTGTTTGAACAGAGCTTATTATTCGCAATCTTCGAAAAGTTTATGGGAAAATCCTATAGGGATTTTATCGAGGGAACCAGTTTTATGCTAGCAGCCGATTCGCCTACAAAGTGACGTCATAGTTCCTCCACTCTATAAAGCCTGGACGCTCTATCAACAGAAACAGATCCGACTTGCTCTGATTGGAAGCATGTGCGACTGGTTTGGAGCGCTGCTCAATGAGAGAGAGAGACAGAGAGATAAATAAAACAAAATGGGAGAACAATAAACTGCCACTCACACCAACAACTTATCACCCAAATACATCATAGGATTTAACACCACTTTAAGTTTCAACCGGAAACACTGGCAGGATTTTAACTTACTAAAACATTATTGATATACTAAAAACAAATGTATTAAATCTAGCTTATTGCTTAAAGGTGTTTGCATTGGTTACTGCAGTAAACGAAGCAGCATGGTGTCAAATATAGCAGGATATTATTGATTTTATATACTGCACATCATCCTGATATTTGAAGATTTAAATGCTTTTTAGCAAGGTAATACATTTTATATAACATTTCATTATGTATTATGCATTTCATTAATGTATGGTTGTATGCTAAGGTTTACCTGAATTAAGACTTTGTGAGACCACCCTGCACTAATCATGAATAAAATGTGTTTCAGGTCTTTGTAACCTATAGACATACGGCCGTTACTCAACAGTTTTGACCACCAGCTTTCCGTAGTGTAGTGGTTCTCATGTTTGCCACAGGACCGGGCCAGTCGCACGTTGGTGTAGATTGCTGTCTAGCCAATAGGAACGAACGTAGGCGAGACAAGTAAAATTCACAACATTATGAGTTCGAATCCCATCTCGGCCACAAATAATATAAAACAAACTTGTATTTGCTTTTTTTCTAGACACACAAAGTATAATTAACATAAAATAAATGATCGTTTTGCACAAAGATACAATAAATCTGGCAACAATTAAGCTTGTGTCATTAATTATTCATATAAATGAATGATAACAAGAATTTATTTATTCATTCATTTACTGTGTCGGATTTATGAAATGTGATCTAAATATGTATTTGTAATATAACAGAGCAGTGGTTCTTAAACTTTTTTTAATCAAGTACCACTTCAGAAAAAAATAGTCTCTCCAAGTACCACCAAAATTAGCAGTATTGAAAAACAGTAGCGTAGTAGGCCCAGTAAAGCAGCTACAACTCTGCAAAGTTAAAAACATGTGGCAGATTCCCTCAGAAATATAGGCTATATGCCATATATGGCAAATTATATACATTATTTTTGATAAATTTTGAAATGTGTGAATGCTGTTAAATGCTCTATATAAATGAAAAATGATTGCTTGATTGATTTTTAATATAGAAAATGTGAATGTGAAAAACTGAAAGGAACATTCTGATCATATTTTATCCCTCGTTCATTCAAGAGATATTCTTTATACATACATATATATATATATATATATATATATATATATATATATATATATATATATATATATATATATATATATACAGTTAAAGTCAGAATTATTAGAATTAGAATTATTAGCCCCCTGTTTATTTTTTTCCCATTTTCTGTTTACTGGAGAGAATTTTCATTTCTAAACATAATAACTTTAATAACTCATTTTTAATAACTGATTTATTTTATCTTTGCCATGATGACAGTAAATAATACTTTACTAGTTATTTTTTAAGACTTAAAGTGACATTAACTAGACAGGTTAGAGTAGGCAAGTCGTTGTATAACGATAGTTTGTTCTGTAGACTATCCAAAAAAAAAAAAAAAAAACGGCCTAAAGGAGCTAATAATTTTGTCCATAAAATGATGTTTAAAAAATTAAAACCTGCTTTTATTCCTGTCGAAATAAAACTAATAAGACTGCTCCAGAAGCAAAAATATTATCAGACAAAGTGTGTCTTTGCTATATTAAACAGCAGTTAAGAAATATTAAAAAAGGGGCTATATATTTATTTATATATATATATATATATATATAAATAAATATTTATTTATATATTTTTATATATATATATATATATATATATATATATATATATATATATATATATATATATATATATTGCTCAGTATACCCTTCACAGATCTCTCTTTTAAATTAACATTTTCTTTAACAAAAAACTGAAAAATCACAGTCCAAAAAAATAAATAAATGTACAGCCAAATTAAAATATGGCAGAAAAATATTAGATACAATTTTAATATCAGGAAATAAAAATAAAGAAACAAAGAAAATATAAATATAAAAATTGAGCTGAAATGTTGTGTGTGTGTGTGTGTTATACTGGTTGTTTATATATATATATATATATATATATATATATATATATATATATATATATATATATATATAAAATCACTGATCAGTGTATACAATACATAGAAAATAAATCTTATCTTAGAAATCTTGTTGATCCTTTGAAGCACACTTTAA